ATTAAGATGTTGGTTTTGGACAAATTGTTCAAGGTTTGTTGATGGTTATTTGGAAAGGAGCTTCATATTAAATTGCACACTGGTTTGTAGGAGGTGAACACTTTTCATGTGTATTTCCTAAACTTTTGCTATGACTTTTACCAAATTTTGAATCAACCTTACTTTAATTTTTATGAAACTAGTAAGTATCTCAGAAAAGGAAATAGATCAAAATTTAGAAATGTCCTCAAGGGATATAGTCTCAGATCTAATAAAACAAAGATTATCGTTGTTTAAGAAGCAATAATGTCAATATGTATTGGTATTGACAAAATGCTTTGAACTTAGGATATATTCTTTGCACCTTATTTGCACTAGTAGTTAGCAGTTAAATATCTCTGAAGAAAAAACAATATTTTTGTATTTTGTGTAACATTCTATTGCAATGCTAGTTAATTGTTCGGATAACAGCTAGTGGATCATCTGTTCAAAGATTTTGCATCACAGGTGTCCTATTTCTGGAAGATGGTTCTGCTAGTGTACAGGTGCAGACTGTATCTTGGATCTTCTTTGTGTTCTGGTGCTGTGACATACCTGTACATAAACGCTTTCAGTTCACGAAGTCCAGTATTGTGGAAGTTTGTATGTAAGTTAGGATTCCACAACAAACTACATACATTGTATAAAAAAATAAAATGGAAAGGATGGTTTTAAAAAATGGATTTCCTTATTCAGTGTCATTTTAGGATGGTGTACAGATTTTGAAGAGGGAAATTCTATTGAGAATTGCTCCAGATCAGCTGCTGAATATTTGCCAATATATCCCAATCCTCTCTCTTCAAAACCAGCTGTGATTTTATCGAGCTGAAAGTCTGTAACTTTCACAGCCCTATCTTCAGGGGAAGTTTCTCTCAACACTTCTTCACTGTTGCTTGTCCACTCTGTAAGATGGAAACCGCCTTTCTGACAGAGAGCGGTTACTTGCTTTACTGTGAAAACCGCTTCAGTCACAGTTGCTTTAGATGTCAAGCAATCATCAACGTAGAAGTTATTTCTTATGATCTGTGATACCCCAGGGTTGAAGTCCTCGTTGTCATAGGCAGTTTTCAGCAGAGCAGCATTAGCACAACTGGGAGATGAAGTGGTGCCAAACATGTGAACCTTCATTCTGTACTTTACAGGTGGTTTACTGAAATCCCCATTTGGCCACCATAGGAAGTGTTGGTAATCCCAATGATGTTCAGGTACAAGAACTTGGTAGAACATGGACTCTATATCGCCCATTACTGCATAGGTTTCCTGTCTAAATCTCATCAGAACACCAATCAAACTAAGGTTAGGACCAGATAGCAACTGTTTGTTGAGGGAAGTTCCATCGTAGGTTGCGGCAGAATTGAATACCACACGCAACTTCTTCTTTTTGGGATGGTACACCCCATGATGTGGAATGTACCACTTCTGTCCATTGCTTGGTTCTGGCTCGTCACTAGGAATAGCTTCAGCATAGCCCTTCTCACACACCTTTTCCATGAAGGCAGTGTATTCTTGATGAAATTGTACATCCTTTTCCATCCGTTTCTTGAGTCCAGTCAACCTCTGGTAGGCAAGCAAATAGTTATCTGGAAACTGTACGCTTTGTCTTTGAAAGGGAGTTCAATTTCATAGTGTGCATCTTCCAACTTGATTGATTCTGCAACTCTTTCCATGAACACTTTGTCTTCTTGTGAAAACAGTTTTTTATCTTCTATCACCCTTTCTGGAAAGTCAATATTATACGACTGTCGTACCATGCGATCCAGTTTCTGTAGTTTTTCAAACTCTTGGATTGCAACCATTTCTGTTCTGTTCATAGTACATCTTGGAAACTGTGCAGGCGCATTGGTCGCTCCATGTCTTGGTAGGTTCCACAACGCCCATCCTAGACGGGTTCTTGTTGCGTGTTGCGAATGTTCACTTCAGCATCTATTTGAGGGATCTGAACGTCATGGAGATGTGACCATTGAGAAATATCTTCCATGGTGGGAATGTGTGCCTTTGACACAGGTAGCTTGTCAATTGTGTACAGAGTTGGCAAGTCGACGTGACTATCCATCGAGAGACTACAAGCTGTTACACCGGACACTGCGTGAGTGTCAACTGTTCTAGGGTGGCCCATGCTGTCAATGCTTATCTTCATTGGTTTTCCGCTGGCGCCTAGTTGTTTCATCAAGTCTGTGGTACAAAAGGAAGCACTGCTCCCGGGGTTGAGAAAAGCATATGTCTCCACTACATGTATTCCTCCTGTCATCCTCAGCTTCACTGGAACAATCACCATAGTGCAGGCACTGTCTGAGATCTCACCGACCCCCTTGTCAGGTTGTATGCAAGAACTGAAGGTACTTGTTTGCATCTCTTTAGGTGGCGCTATGTCAAGGTGGAAAAGAGTATTGTCTACATTGACACTTAGTACAAGTTATGTTTGCATGACAATCCTTACTTAGGTGACCGCTTTTGAGACATTTAAAGCAAAGTCCTTTGTCTTGAACAAATTGGGTCTTGTCTTCAAAACTTAAGACTCTCAACTCTCGACATCCAACGACAACATGATCAGCAGCACCACAGTATCTGCAGCTTGGCACTGGTGCGGGAGGTCGAGCTAGAGCTGGAGGTTTATCAGGTGTGTTTGATGACTTCTCATTCTGTGTCTTGGGTGTCTGAACTCCAGTGACCATGGTGAGTTTCGGCTTGCCAGTTTCTAGTTGTCCTGTTACTTCCCTTGTTTCGTCTGTCATATTTCCGTTTGAGAGCTATAATGGAGAATGCATACCACCAACGAAATTCGCAAATCGAAGGAAATATTTGTAGAAATAAACAAGATTAAATTCAAAATCCTACAATGTATATCAAAGTATACAATATTATCTATTGTTGCTACATATATAAAATGCTGAAATATATCAGAGTATGCAAAGTCATTTTCATTGTTGTTGTCATGTTGGAAGAGTTCATTATCCGAGAAAGGGATGAAGGTGATTGTGTTATGTGCATTCATCCATAAATTTGTTTTGATAGAGGTGCAGGCGAAATGAGGTGTAGGCAATATGAGGACAGGCCCTTCGCTCGCATATACAATGGTAGGAAGACTGGTCACTTTTCTCTCTGATGTGCAACGGTATTTGCTCTAAAATGTGGAAACACGGAGGTCATGTTTTACTACCTTATTTGCATGTACTTTTTAATTGTATTTTTAACTCGGGAGACTTTCCTTCTGCTTGGTCACAAAGTATTATCTTCCCACTTCACAAGAAGGGGAACAGAAATTATGTTAATAACTATAGAGGTATTTCCTTGATGGACACATGCGGAAATATATTCACTTATATTTTAAATGAAAGACTGAAAGCATTTGTTGATGTGTATAATTTAAATCCAGAATGTGAAGCTGGATTCCGCTCAGGCTATTCAACTGTTGATAATGTTTTTACCTTACAGGGTTTAATTCAAAAATACTTGTCCAAGTCTAAAGGGTCGATTTGATTGTTTATTTGTTGATTTTCATAAAGCATTTGATTGTGTAAATAGAGATCTATCATGGTATGTTCTTTCTCAAAACAATATCCGTGGTAAAATGCTTTCAATAGTGAGTGAAATTTTCAATAAATCAATTTCAGCTGTAAAACTATCAAATTCTAGCATTTCAGAATATTTCAATACCTTGAGTGGTGTACGACAAGGATGTATACTCAGTCCATTATTATTTAGTATGTTTGTAAAACAAGTTGAAGAGGATCTTACATCGTCTGACGAAAGAGGTATTTTTGTTGGAGCAGAATTTCTAGAGCTCTTTTTATTATTCTATGCTGATGATTTATGTATATTTTCTGACACAGTTATAGGTTTACAAAGAAAGATTAATATTTTATCCAAATTTTGCACAAAATGGGGCTTAAAGGTTAAGTTTACAAAAACAGAGATAATTGTTTTTCGCAACGGAGGTATAGTGAAGAAGACCGAAAAGTGGATGTTTAACCATGTGAAGTTGAAAACTACATGCTAATACAGCTATCTGAGTATTTTATTTTCCAGCAGACTATCCTTGTCAAAAGCAGTCCAGACTCTCGTTCAGAAAGCTAATAAAGCCCTTTTCCCAATTAAATAGCTTCATCTTAAAATGAAAAATCTTTCTCCTACTTCCTTATTTCAAATGTTTGATACACAAATTAAGCCTATCTTATTATATTGCTCAGAAATATGGGGTTTTCAAGAGTGGCTAATTCTAGAAAGATTTCATGTAAAATACTGTAAATATGTTCTTGGTGTTGGTATTACCACAACAAATGAAGCTGTTTTATCTGAATGCGGTCGTCATCATATATGTTGTGATTCTATAATAAGATGTTTTAAGTACTGGTGTAAATTATGAATTATGGAAGAAACTAGATATCCAAAACAAACCTATATTGTGTTAAAAAGAATGGACGATATTAACCGCAAGTCATGGGTAACTGAAGTGAGGAAATTAATTTATATTTATGGTTTCAGCTATGCGTGGGAGTTTCAAAATATTGTTAACACTGATTTATTTTTTAAACACTTCTCTCAACGAGTTAAAGATTGTTGCATCCAGTGTATATTTTCTATGTTAAATGAACATTCTAATTTAGAGTTCTATTCATGTGTCAAAAGTACGTTTAATATGGTATCATACTTGTCAACATTATATAACAAAGATTTAAGAAGATTTTTATCACTTTTAAGATTCGGTGAATTAAATATTATGAAGAATACAGGCAGAAGAAATAATATCCCAAGAGAATTAAGATTTTGTCCATTTTGTAAGAAATCCTCACACAGTACTTTTATCGATGTGCGATATAAAGCGGAGAAATGTACTGTTTCTTAACGCATACCAAAATGTTTATTTTTTATACGGCCTAAGTATTTGCACTTTAGTTTACACCATCGGAAAGGAAATTTAATAATCTACATTTCAGATTAATTATATAGCTTCTGGGCGATCAGAATACCGCGCACACCCAATAGTGGAATTTCCGCAAGTCATGTGATCTAGCTGCCGATCACGTGGTACAGGTCAAGCTTTGGGACAAAATGGCGGCTGTCAACCGTGCCCTTGAGTGAGCCTCGCCAAGTTCAAAGTGCAATATCATCAATATGGGGGTAAAACGATGCGCTTATGGCACTTGTAATAGTGACTCACGTTTCTACCATAAACCACATATGGCAGATGTGTTTTTTATTACATTTCCAAAGCCCACATCAAAGCCCGAGATGTGTGACCGCTGGATCAGAGCGTGTTCCCGCGGTGATGATTTTGGCCGTCACAAGATCACCCAAGATACATATGTATGTTCCAAACACTTTGTTGATGGACATGGTCCTACAGGCGAACATCCTGACCCTATACCAGCTACCGCTAGAGGTGTGGAACTTAGAATATTCAACACGAAGAAGTCAAGACCACCACCTAAAGGCCGTGTGAGCTTGTCGCCAGAGAAGAAAAAAAGTCGTTCACAACTCCAGGTATAGTTTGGGAATGAAATGAAATAAAATGAAAAAAAAATACATATGCAAATAGATAAATGAACAAATAAAAGTAAATTTTGAATAATTTAAAAAAAACTCTCTTTATAATAATTTATGATGTTCATAAAATATTAATTAATGTGTTTTTTTGCAGGTACTCAATGTGAACATTGATAAGGAAAATGAAATAACTGAGGGTTCTGAAGAGCAAGATAAAAATGTTGATAATGAAGGTATATCCATTGATTATATTAAAGACAAAGCTTTTAAATAGAATGTTTAGTTAATGAAATCCGGATGGGTTTTTAGCAATCCTTATTGCCTGAAAAAGTTTGCAATTATAAAATTATAAGATGTTGTTTAGTGTATATTTTTGGACCATTTATCATCCGCACAGTTTTGTTTTTTACAAAAATATTTTATTTTGCAGATGCAAGAAAACAGGTTTCCTGTTCTGATGCAGCTACTCAGACTGACATCTTGCATGATGATCTGGCTGGCTACAGTGATGATCAGCTCAAACAACCTAAACTTCTACAGAGAAAACTATTCATGGATGATGTTCTCAGAAGTGACAAATCATGCAAATTCTACACAGGTAAAAAATATCTGTTTCAAATCTATAATAAAGACATTCATTTTATGTTTTATTTATTGATAATATGTTTTGCATGATATAGACTTTAATGTGTGTTTTAAAATAGTTATTTGACCAATATTAAAAATTATTTCAGGTATTACATCCATACAGCTTCTGTTGTTCCTGCACAGATTCCTACAGTCCAAAGCTGAGAGGTTAACACTGTGGAAAGGGGAAGAAACAACAGTATGTATAGTTTATTGCTTTAATATTGAAAATTTTAACTATAAATTGTATATTTATATACTTATCCTATCTCACGACTTGCACCTCTCTCTCTTCAATCGACCATGAGTGGAAACGAATTAAAACTTTGCTCAAGACCTACCTTGCCCCTCTCCCCGTGCTGTGCATGCCTTCCTGTCTCAGTCGTGCTCACTAGTCCATGACAGCACGAGGCATGCGCAGTCCTCACCCACGTGATCACCTCACATACTCATTCTCGATCTTGGAGCCATAAAAGGACAAAACCGGAACGGTGGTAATCTATGTAGTGGGGAGGTAGGGAGGGACTTTATCGCGTGAGATAGGATAAGTATATAAATATACAATTTATAGTTAAAATTTTCAAATTTTTAAACTTATCCTATCTCACGACTTGCACTTATCCCACGGTAGGAAGGTGGGTCATAGATTACCCGGAATTCAAGCGATAACAGCTAGTGTTACGCCCAAACAACCGTAGAAAGCAACTGCAAGGTAGGCCAATAACTACCAAGTTACTACGTGCGAGGGTTAGGTCGAACCCATTGACTTATTAAGCACAATTGCTCCCAGGGACCGGGTTTCCCGAGCAATGTGGTGTTCAGTCACTACCTTCACAAAGTGAAAGGGCGTAGCTTAACGAGTGTAATCAGTCGCATCGCCACGATTTCCAAAAGGTACCCCGTAATAAAAGTCAAACGACTAGTATCGGGCCAGCCCTGCTTGAAACAACCCCCACAGACACCGTCCCGAGGAGGGTGAAAGAAATTGAATCGGTAAAACTCACAATTTTTAACGTTCAGTACCACAACATCATCTTATGACTTCCATTACTTACCACAATAAGATCACATAGATGTGTATAGGCACTTAGGAGCATGAACGCTCTGAAGTGTAACGCCGAGGAAGGACTCACTTCACTGACTTAATTACTCCGTGGAGCAGAGGACAGTAAGTGAGGTGGCGACTCTCTGTAGTCTCAAACAAATGAGAGAAGAAAATCTAAATCCCGGAAGAAATAAAGACGTAAATCAGAAAAAGTTTTTCAGATTTATTCAGATTGTACACAAGCAGAAACGATCGCGACTTGGGATCAACTGCACAGTGGGATCCATATAGCATCGGAGCACAAGAAAGTTCATTATCTGCGATGTTGTGCCGCTGATAACTGCTGGGCAAGGACGAGTGGTCCAAACTGATGAAGGCCTTGAATATCCGTCACCGACACATCTCTGAGGTAATGAGACGAAAATACCGTGTCAGATCGCCAAAAACACCCCTCCATTATGGCAGTTAACGAGCAGTTGCTATGCAACGCCATAGTAGAAGCCAAAGCCCTGGTTTCATGAGGGTTGACTGCCGTAGGTGGTGGCAAACCGGCAAAAGTGTAGGCTCGTAGTATTGTAGCTCGTAGCCAATATGAGAGTGTTGTGCGAGAAACTTCGCCTTGGAAGCCGTAGACAAGGGTATAAATAGCCTCTTACGCGCAGACGGCGGCGTGGCTCTTACGCGATGCTTTAAGGTAAATGCGAAGTGCTCTGACTGGACAAAGAGACAGATCTTCAACATCTGCTGGACCCAATATGGTAGACAAAGGCGGGATTGTAAAAAGACGATCAGGTTGACCCGGCAACTGGTTTTGCAATAAAATCCCAGCGCCAATCCCAACAATACCTTGCCATGTCTACTCTGTTCAAAACGGACGCGGTTGATATCTAGAGCATGCAGTTCTGATATACGTGCCGCTGTGGCAAAGGCAATAAGAAAAAGGTCTTGAATGAAACTTGTTCAAACTCCTTGTCCTGTAAGGGTTCATAATGCTCGGACACTAAGTGGTGCAGGACCACGGATAAGTCCCAAGCTGGTGGACGAAATTTCCTGGATTGGTCGGCTAGCTTAAAAGAGCGAAGTAAGTACTGCAGTTCGGTACCGTCGAAACCTTCGTGCCAGAAGTCGTGGCTAGGACCCGAATTAAGAGCCGCCAAGTAGGTGGCTAAAGTGGAACCCTTGAGTTTCCTTGTAGCCCGCAAATGTTGTAAATATTCCGCCAACAACCTGGGAAGCAGTAGTAGGGAAGCGATCCCTCTGACCCGACAATAACATTCAAATTTCTTCCACTTATCGTCATACAAAGAGCGGGTAGGCGTACGATGAGCTGCAGTGATAGCTGAGGCCACTCTGTGAGAATAACCTTTGGCTATTAGTGATTTCTGCAAATGTGCCATCGTGAAGATTGAGCGTCTGTGGTGACTCGTGATACGCCCGAGTCGCGGATGAACTAGTAGGTCGTCGTCCACGGGAAGAGGAATGCTGCTTCGACTGACTAGACTTTTAGGCCGGCGAACCAACTTCTCGCTGGCCAAAATGGCGCTACCAAAAGTAGTTGTACTTTGTTGGTTAACAGAATTTTCTGAATGACCTTGTGAAGTAGAGCGGAGGTGGAAGCGCATAAGCGTTGAGGCCTTCCCAAAGGAATGGCCAGGGCGTCGTGATCCCAAGCTAGTGGATCTGGAATTGGAGATACGAATCTCGGCAGTTGGGAGTTGAACCGAGTGGCAAACAGATCGACACTTTCGGTCGAGATCGGGTAAATTATCGTCCGAAAAATCTTGGGCAGGAGTTGCCACTCTGTGGGCGTGACGGCGACTGGAACGAGACAGAGGCGTCGGCAATCCGTTCTTTGTTCGGGGAATGTGCCTGGCTCTTGCGACGATGTTGAGAGAATCTATCAGAAGATAGAAAGAAAGCGTCCACTGTAGGAGTGCTGCTGAGCCCGTCGACCCTAGGTGATTGATGTACCACACTACCGTCGAGTTGTCGGACTGTATCAGCAGGTGAGACATCTTGAGTAGAGCCGCCCAGTACTGAATCGCCAGTAATACTGCCTTGAACTCCAGAATGTTTATGTGGGTGACTTGTCTTCGGACGACCACTGCCCTGCCACTTGATGCTGAAGGAAGTGGGCGCCCCAACCTTCTAGAGAGATCCACAAACAACTGATGGGTTGGACTGAATGGCACCAAAGAGACGCCGGCGCAAACATTCTGTACGTTGAGCCACCAGCGTAGGGTGGACGTAGTTCCCTGGGTAACCGAATCAACACCTGAGGGTTGTTGGTTTGAAGATGAGGGCGCAGAAATAACTGAAGTGGGCGAAGCTGCAGTTGACCTCTGTAAGTCAGAGCCTGAGCTGACGTTAAGGCGCCAGCAACTCCTGCCACTGGTAGAGTTCTGGGGTGATCAAGGCTAAGCGGAACCAGGCGCTGAATTTTGGTCCACCTGTCCTGGGGAACAAACAACTTGGCTTGTTCTGTGTCGAAGATTGCTCCTATGAACTGAAGTCTGCGAGTCGGTGTTAACTCCGACTTCTACCGTAATTGAGGAGCCACCCTAACTGTTTGAGCAGCCTGATGGTGAACTCCCGATGGATTTGAAGAACGTTTGGATCCTGTTGTGCCTGAATACAATCGTCGATATAGCTTTCGAAAGTCACTCCCGAGAATGTAGGAAACTGCTGATGGGTTTGGTCACCCGAGTAAAAGCCACGGGGCGTAGAGATTCCAAATGGAAGGACGTTCCATTGGTAGTGATGGCCCCGAAGGTGAACCTGAGATATTTCCGATGATCTGGGTGAATCGGAATGTGCAGGTATCGTCTTGAAGATCTAGGGATATGAAATCCCTTTCTTCAGAATTGAGGAGAAGACTGACCGATACCATGCGAAAATGAGGTGGTTGTTGCAGGAATCGAGCGTTGAATGTCTTCATATTGAAGATGAGGCGCTAACTTGCTGGAGTTTTCTTTGGCACCAGAAAAATCGGGGAGTAAAATCCTGGAGTTATGCACACCTGATCTAGGTGTTCTATTGCATGTTTCTCCAGTAGAGTTTGGATTGTAGTCGAAAGGACTGCCGCCCGATCCAGAGGATATATTTGCTGCAAGGGTTGAGTGGTGAGGGGTGGATCCCCGACCACAGGCAGTCGATAGCCGTGAATGAGAGTCATTGTGACAAAAGGATCTCCCAGAACCTCCCAGTTGGGAGCAAACAGACCTAACCTCCCTCCTACAGGGGAATCGAACACTGGAACCACCGGATCCGGCAGAACCAATCCGAGCTCTGACTTCCGTGAGTCACTGTTTGGACTGTCTATGTCCAGTTCCCGTGTCGGGTCGATAGGGGCGACGTGATGCGGAACCACGAAATGGCCTCCTGCCTCTGCCACGTGCTTGAGAAGGCGCCGTGCCTTTCATACAGTCCCGGAGGTCTGGGTTGGAAGGGGTAAATTGTGCGGTTGGCGATGCGAATAGAATCTTGGAGCTGAATTTTTGCAATTCCAAGAGATCAACAGATACTTGAAATTGGTTAAGGCGGTCCACCTTGGATGCGATTTCAGCAATAGCCCCACTGAACACCGTATCCCCGACCATGGTTGACGAAATAATTCAGCCTTGAATCTATCTTCCCATGAGGAGAAATTCAACGGACCCCGTCGCCGTATTGCAAGTAAATAGCCAAAAAAATGAGACAATTGCTCGAAGACCACCTGGAATTGGTCTAAAATCAGAGTCATACTACCCCTGATGTATGCGTCCTGGTCCGTATATGCATGGTTGACCGCCTCCGCAACAGCGTCAACAGCTGAAATAATGCAGCTAATGGCAGGGATAGCATGGCGAACCGTAGTATCTAAGTGAGCCAATTCCTGTCTTCCACCAAATCTGTGGCGAAATGGAGCGCTTGCCACAGACCATGGAAATGTCATCATCGACTGAAGGTGCCGCTGACCAAAGTTTCACACCATGAGTATGTGCCGTGGATGGTCTGAACCTTGGAGCAGACAAACCATCCTTCGTCCTTCTAAGCTTGTTGAAAGCCGCGTCAAGAGAAGAAGGCAATTGTTGAAGACATGGGCGCAAAGGAAGTGTGATACTGGCAACATCTCTATTAGTCATGCCATAAGGCGTGGCCAAATCATCTGGAGATTTACTAAGAGGTAGCTGAAGTTTTCAACTATCCAGGCTAACCGTGAGCGGTTCAACAACATCAAAACTGCCATCAGGAGTGGAGATGTCTGACTGCCAGGTGAAGGGAAAGTAGTCTGAGATCGAGTCCGATCCCTCAAATCCCCCAAGCGATTATTGCTAAGAAACGCCAGGCGATTGTTGAACATGTGAGGGCCGAGTGACACTGATTCCAAGCAGGCGTAGCGACACGAAGCATGGTATCTAAATCCGGCTGAGCCGGAATCAATAGCAGGATTCCAAGACTCAGCAATAATCTGTGACCGGGGCAAAATAGAAGTGGAAAGGCGTGAAGGTGAGCGCTGATCCACTGAAGCGTAACGCTGCCTAGCAGGTGAAACCACCCGTACAAAGCGGCGTTGCTGATGTGTACTATCATGGGAAGGCACTGACCGTGAAGGCGTTACTAGCACAAGGCTGGCTAGAGGGATATTCTGATTCCCCTGAGGTGAATGAGACCGATTTCTATTATCCCTCTGGCCTTAAAGACACCAAGCGGTTAGGTGAACCGGATGGAAATGGCGAACCACTTCGACTAGGTGAGACTGAGCGACTACGGGAATCAAAAGCGCTGTGGTGAGTCGAGCGAAACACCTGTTGAGGTGAATTGAGTCGGGAATGTGAAGCGGTTCGTCCTGGTGAACCTATTTGAGTACGTGAAACAGTACGGCCAGAGGAACACATTCGACTACGTGAATCAGTTCGATCAACTGAACTCATTCGAGGATGTTCTGGTGAGCCGGTTCGGCCGTGTGAGCCGGTTCGGCAGGGTGAGTCGGTTCGGCATGGTGAGCCGGCTCGGCTGTGTGAGCCGGCTCGGCGATGTGAGTCGCTCCGGCAGGGTGAGCCGGTTCGGTAAGGTGAGCCGGTTCGGCTAAGTGAGTCGGCTCGGCTGTGTGAGCCAGCTCGGCGATGTGAGTCGGTTCGGCAAGGTGAGCCGGTTCGGCTATGTGAGTCGGCTCTCGAAAGTGAACGAGACCTAGAGCGACTCTTGCCAGCCGTGGAAGAACGATTGAACCTTCGCACCAGATGGTGATTCAACTTCGTGTGGGTGAATTGTTCGGTTAGATGAAACCGTGGAATTAGGAGAGCGGAGTGCGTTCCAACAGCGCCGATCCCGCTTTGACGATGAATGCTTAGAAGTTCTCGAAGTCTGTGATCGTTCGAAGAAACAGACCTACGAGATAATGTAGATCGCAGGTCTGGCGTAGAAGAAATATCGGTCGTTACCACCCTGAGTGCGGCTCCTGAGAAGCGTAAACTGGGTGAGGGAACCTCCCTAAAAGCCGTCTCCGTTCTCAGATAAATAGGAATCTGTGAAGCGTCCATAAAATCTTAGTCAGGCGCGAGGCGGCCGATTGAGAGCGGTGAGCAGTGAGGGTGGGGCGATCTAAGCATTGTTTCTTAGCGGGAGATGGACCAGACCCGCAGAAATAGTCCTAGCCCTATCTGCCAAACGCTGGTCACAAGCACGCGTTTGTAAGATTTAAAGCGCCTCATTAGACAGACCTGAACACTTAGGACAGCGTGTGTCCCAGTCACAAGCACCCACACAATCAACACACGATGTGTGAGGGTCCCATGCTGAAAATACTTTATTACAACGGACGCAAAACTTCCGTTTACTGGCCTTAACAGGCTTAACCATTTTGAGCAATTCTCTGACGAAAAATTTTCCACGTCCACTCAGTGGAGCGACAAGAAAGAGAATGAGTATGTGAGGTGATCACGTGGGTGAGGACTGCGCATGCCTCGTGCTGTCATGGACTAGTGAGCACGACTGAGACAGGAAGGCATGCACAGCACGGGGAGAGGGGCAAGGTAGGTCTTGAGCAAAGTTTTAATTCGTTTCCACTCATGGTCGATTGAAGAGAGAGAGGTGCAAGTCGTGAGATAGGATAAGTTTAAAAATTTGCTTTTATTAATAACCACCTATATACTATCTCTTGACTAATATATACTGTATGTAACTTGGTCGCTGATCAATATGTCATTTGTTAACCCTTTCACAGGCAGTGCTGTAAAGTGCATCTGTTTACTAAATGGTCACTTGCAAATTATCATTGACTTCCTAGTACCAGTCATTGTGAAATATATTGATTAATGAACAGATCCACTTGACCATGTTAACTGATACATAATTACTTTTCAGGAGAATGCCAAAAACAAAGATGACCATCACCCCAGGGGACTGTCCACCTTCACAGCTTTCCTCCTAACACTTGTGCGCCTGAGACGTGGCCTTGATGTCGACCATTTGAGTGATCTGTTTGGCATATCATCATCGACAGTTAGCCGTTACTTCGGACATACATTGAGTTTATATCAAGGAGCTCAGTTTTGTTGTTAAGTGGCCAATCAGACTGCAGGTTCAAGCTCACCTCCCAAAGGCATTTAGATATTTTAAAAAGACTATTGCCATTATAGATTGTACAGAATTTTTTATACAGAAACCCTCATTGCCATCTAGTCAGAGAGTGACCTGGTCACAGTACAAACATCACAATACCTTTAAATGTCTGGTTGCTATTTCCCCAACAGGTGCATTTACTTACATCTCTCCACTGTGGTCTGGTTCAGTGTCAGATAGGCGCATTGTTAAAGAATCAGGTTTCCTTGATAACTTAAACTATGGCTGACAGGGGTTTTTTGATTAGGGATCTCTTAGCATTAAGAGGATGTACATTAAACATACCACCTTTTGAGCATGGTAAGCAGTTAAGCAAAGCAGCTGTTAAGAAAACCAGGAGAATAGCCCATGCTCGAATACATGTTGAAAGGGCAATTGGTCAGCCTCAAGAACTTTAAATTTTACAAGGTATTTTTCCACTGAAATCCAAGAAGCTTATTAATCAAAGTGTACAAGTTTGTGCTCAGTTATGCAATTTTGACAAACCACTTGTAAAGTAACTGTTGTTTTAAATTATTGCCATATTCATGACCAATGACTTTCATGATTCTGTTGTCATGAACATATTGAAATGTTTTGAGCTTTTTTCCCATATATTTGGGATTACACTCTCTTAGTAAAGTACAGGTTCTAGTACTTTTGTTTGGGTTGAGTCCCATCTGGGATTTGAACTCACAGCGTCAAAGACTCAGGCACCTAATCGCCAGCCTAACCCTCTCAGCCACCACAACTTCCATGTATTGTTGAACATGGCCTAGTGACCTTAGTGTGAACTGATCTCAAGGAAGTTTGAGTAAAGTTTTAAAAAATAAAAAGATAACAAAGCCTTAATAAGTTTTGTAATTGTATTTCATTTGAAATAACTGCTTCTCCTTAACATGTCTCTAACCAACATGTCTAACAATTTATTATCAATAACACTAACATAGAATGTCATGATGCATTGATGAGTAAGATGCAAGCATGATATGGGACAATATGATCAAGATAACACTGTACTTGTGTACTATGAGGCCACTTGTACTGTACTGTACTACTGAGGTAAAATCTGTAAACATGTAACACTCATATACATGCTTAGTTTGACCATTTTGCATATTCGGGAAAAGCATGATGTTACAGTGAGTGACAAAGGAAACACTGTACTTGTGTACAATGAAACTATTTGTACTGTACTGTGTACTTCCGAGGTAAAATCTGTAAACATGTAACACTTCATATACATGCTTAGTTTTTGACCGTTTTTTACATATATGTGAACAGCATGTTATTTGACAACAAACGATAGTCCTCAAAAGACTTGAAAGCCTTCAATGTCCTCCTATCATAATCAGATCTATGAAATAACAGGTAGTTGAAGATATCATACAAGCCAAAGTCTGGGATGAGGCTGAAGTCAGATGTGTAAGTAAGAGCAAATGGATCATCAAAATCACAGTGTAAGTCCGTGAGACACTGCTTCATAAACGTTTCTGGTCGACAGTCATGTTGAAAATCGGGATCAGGCTCCAATTCAAGTTTGACAACTGCATTGGCTAAAGCTATGAGAACGTCTTTTCTGTGACCTGTAGTTGTTATTCCGTACTTTTTCAAATAATCTTTAAGTTCTGGGACTTTCAATTTCTCCATGGTAATTAATCATAACTTATATAAACTGCGTATTATGACATGGACCTGTCATCGGAGACGTGCCGACTACCAGATCTACATTCTAATTGCTCAGCCGAATTCTGCAGCCTCAGAGAAATATTAGATACACTAAAGGGACAAATTATATACAAGAACTATTTAGAACAAGTATTTCATTCACTAAATTCGATAAACTGCGAATAAATGTTACAACAAACATGATCAGTATCTACAACGATGCTTGACAGACGCCATTTTGTACGAAAGCTTGACCTGGTCACGTGATCGCGTCATTAGTCACGTTACCACCGGAAAATGGTCTATTCTCGCGCAATGTTCACTTTTTTAGACCTAATGAAAATGTGCGTCAGAAAAAAATCGAACCCCCCCTTTTAAAAATGACTTGAGACCACATTGAAGATTTTTTTTGCGTTGGCAGAGCCAATGGGGGTTCAGCGGGTTCGAAACCCCTGACACACACACACACACACACACACACACACACACACAGAGTTCAAAATTCCTGGATCCGCCCATGCATTGTGTCGTATTCTTGATCGGAACTGCCATGCTGTTGTATTAGATACATTTGATTGCGTTATGTAAGTAATGAAAATACACAGTAACGGATATTTCACCATGCATATGAATACCAATCGCAATCAGTTGAACGGGAACAACTACATGCGGTTTCGCTTTTGGATTGCGGAATATGACTCGCCTTTTGAGAGTTATCTTCCCAAAATGGCCGCGCCCATGGAAGAGCATGATAATAATGCGGGGCTGTTTTTGAAAAGGTGCATGCAATTTACTCGTAGAGAATTGATTTCGGTTCACTGAACATGCTCTACGATATTGATTGTATCGACCATTTGTACATGTAGTCGACTTGATTAAATAGACTAAATTCCGTTCAGGATAAGTTCCCTTTCTCTCAGTCTCATGAACAGCTGATCTCTGACCATGACTACGAGTTTGGTAAACGTACTGCCCCGACGTCGTGTAAGTGCAGCTGGGAAGTCACTGACAAGGTTGTGTTTGCCGTGCTTCCGGAGGTTCATCAGCTACAAGCATACAACGCCCTGCTTCGTGACGACACCTATCTTTTATGTAAATGCAGGTAATTAACCTGAATGTTATCTTATTACAAATAAAATTACAGTAAAATTTAGTCCAGCATATTACTAGACGACTTTGCACTATACCAAGGTGTAGTCCTTGGCTGGAATACGAGTTTATTCATATGAACTAGAGTATCCCTTATTTTGCAGTTGGGGAAACCTACCGATCGGCCTGTAAGAGGCCAAACGGGATATAAATAGGCCGTTCTGCCTATTTTGCTATAGGCCGATTGGCCTATAATATATTTATCAAATAAATTTGAAGTGGTTCATTTCCGCATGAGGATATTAACATCATTCAAGTTTTGATGTCCTGAGGTTTTCATTCAAACCCGTTTTGACCATTTTCATCACATAATAAAGGAGTTTGGAAATTGCTAATTAAATATAAGTCTATAATATTTTTGACAATTTTCACTGAAAATTAACGACATAGATATTCAGTTTTAGATTTCAAAATGAAAATCTGTGCAAAATAGTGTTCTTAAATGAAACATCATTTCCTGAACATGATATAAATTTACATTTTGTCCAAAAACTTATTTTTTTCAAGCTGAGTAGGTCCAGTAACTATTCATCTCTATGATCATATTAAACCATTTCGTGCGGAAATTGATAGTTTGTGAAATAATAATAATAATGGTAATAGCAAAATAGGCAGAACGGCCTATAGAATCCTGTTCGGCCATTATAGGCCAATCGGTAGGTTTCCCCAACCTGCTTATTCAATCAAGCAATCAATCTTTATTCATACTGAAGGCCACAGGCCCACAATATACAAGAACATAGTACACAATATCATAGAAAAGAATAATATAGTCTTATCACAATATGTCATATCACATCATATAACATCGCATTACACATACTTTGTCGTATCACATCATATCATAACACACCATATTACATCATATCATACCATGTATCATACCATACCATACCATACCATATCATGCCATATCAAATCACATATCATACCATATCATATCAAATAACAATATGAGTAAATACATTCTATGAATTATTATGTTTATTTCTTAGAGACAAATACAGTCATCAAATATATTATCAACATCACAGTCATTAATCCACGTTTCGGTAAGTCCAATAATATCAAAAGTTTTAATATACATGAGGAACTCATTATCGGTAAATTTAGATGATAAGCCAGACACATTCCAAAATAGAAATGATTGATGTTAAAACTCATCAGTTGACGCGGTTGACTGAGCAGAGGGTGAGTGACGCGCCATACAATCACTATGTGGATCAGTGTCAGTAGTTAGACCCTGGCCACACCCCTGCTTATTAAGTCATTACAAATACGGTAACACAGTAATATTACGATCATCAGTTGACCAATAGTTGAAGGCAACTGAAAGGGCATATGTAGAATTACAGTAAAATGTTGTTTCTGCTTTTGTCTTACGCCTGAGTGTTCCCTTACTGTGTTATTCTTGAAGTATGAGGGCATGTAACGAAAAAGATTACAAATGCATCATGGTATACACGTCTTAAATTAGCAGTATATGAAACCATTTTTTTATCAGTACTTATAGTGCTGAGACGACTGCAGTGACCTTGATGCTAGTTTTTGTGTCACATGCCCCTGTGCATAGAAAATGTATATATTTTTTACAGAATCAGAAAACTCTATTTAAACTGAAAAGAAGCCCAAGTATGCTTGGCGATCCAAACCTGAATAAAATCTACCTGGACTTGTTTCATTTCTAAGGGGTTTTGCTTGACAAAAAGGGCTGGATAAAAGGGAAAATAGGGCCTAAAAATATGTTGTGGTTACGACTACCCAACTGACCCATGAATTCTGGTGCCAATCTTATTTTTGTCACAGGTATGAATGAAATAAGTTTCAAATGCCATCGATTTTTCCTGGCACCGTCGGACATTGGCTATTCTGATAGAGAAAGTCAACATAATGGCCACAAGCACGCAGTCTGAAACTTGATGCAATAAACAATTACACATTGATAAATGTGCTATTAGTTCGTACTTCTGAAAAAAATGCAAGAAAAAAATCCTACCTACCTACCCTAAATTTTAAAGAGGTGTGGAACCACAACATTTTTTTTTATTGGCCTACCGTGGTTCATGCCTGAGAGACAAAGTAGGATACATGGTTTAAAAATGTAGAAAATGTGTTATATGACGTCATTTTACATCAGCAATGATACATCCACACTGAACACAATGTGAAAATTGATTGCACTTTAAAAACATTATTATCATTCTTTATGAGCACAATTTCAAATAGCATTCTTTCTTTAATTTGTTTGTTTTTTAACACCAGTGTTGCAATTTTCTAGCTATATTACTGCAACCTGTACATAATCAAACATGGATCAGGCAGTTAGGGGACTGATATTTTAGTCAAGGTCCTCACTGTTAATACAATGTATATGATAATGTGCCGTCAACCAATTCACTGCACCTGACCACTCAACCATTTGGTCACCTCCAACAACTGACCCATGAAGATCCAGGTTAGAATTGGTCTTCAGCAACCCATGCTTGTCAAATAACAGGATCGGGTGGTCAGACTCGCTGATCTGGTTGACACATGTCATCTTATCCCAATTGCCTAGATTGATGCTCATGCTGTTGATCACTGGATTGTCTGATTATTTACAGACTGCCACCATGTAGCAGGAATATTGCTGAGTGTCCTGTTAAACAATGAACAAACAAACGCACAGAATCTTCAACAACCAGACACCCATGAAGGTGCGGGTTAGAATATCGATCTTCAGCAACCCATGCTTGTCGTACGAGGCGACTAATGGGATCGGGTGGTCAGGCTTGCTGACTTGGTTGGCACATGTCATCGGTTCCCAACTGCGTTAATCGATGCTCTTGCTGTTGATCACTGAATTGTCTGGTCCAGATGCGATAGATTTACAGTCCGCCGCCATATACTAGTAGCTGTAATATTGCTGAGTGTGGCGTAAAACTAAACTCATTCACTCACTCACTCCAACAACCAGAATCAGTTGCTGGGGATTGACTTATTCTAATCTGGAATTATCATTGGCATTCCCACTTCTCTTTTTTTATAAAATAAGTTTTCTTCTAGCACACCTAATATATGTATGGGTGTCTGGTTGGGTACTAAAAAAATAGGTTTCTGCTTGGCTCGAGTAAAATTTTTCAATGCGATGCTGCCATGTGTTTCAGGGCCTCATATCGGTCACCTGTACACAGTTCTTCTGGCAGATGCTCATGCTAGATGGAACAGACTGACAGGCCGAAAAGTCGTCTTCTCTACAGGGACAGATGAACATGGCCTCAAGGTAAAGCAACCCTTTTTGACTCGCCTTGACATTGCCAGAATCCAAATTTTCTGCAATGTTCTCAAATATCATGTCACATAGCAGAGCACAGCACAGTGGATTGACTTGACATTGCCAGAATAGACATTTTGTGCAACATTCACGGCACAGCACATTATTATGCACTCCAAAATATTTTGACTGTAAGCATGAACTTGATACAAGCATGTAATTTATGTTGGTGTCCCTTGCTCTTCATATTTTCACCTTAATATTGCGTCAAATATGCATGATTTGAGTGTCAGGGTGAACCTTGTTTCTGTAAAATATGTTTCTTTAAGAGACAAGATGTTAGCCTACAAAATAACTTCAACGACGTTCTCTTCTGATTGGAGTATAAGGGATTTATTTATTCTCCGACTCGAAGATTCATTCATCTCCTTGACAGGATACATTGTATTTTGTAAAGATCATGTTTACCCTATTGGGTATCAACAAATGGAGGTGAAGTAATTGTATGTTAATATCTATTACCTGGGTATTACTGTAGATAAACTGAATTTGGAAGACCCAAACAAGCAGGCTGTAGAAGTGGGTTGGCTTATATACGGGTAACACTTTCGTCAGCTGTTTTCTGGTGACCAGTAAGAAAATGACATCATATCGTTTCGCGGGAACAAACAAGACAAAATGACTTTGTCAGGGAAGACGTCATATTTGCAGTTAAACATCACTAGACAAATTTTTGGCCTTTTTTGTTTTTGCTAGGCATTGTCTTATATACAGGGATGAAGATTACTGTGTGTATTTGTCTCATATATAGAGCCAGAAATAGCAATCAGCTGTGCACACGTTTCCTGCGATCTTAGCCATAAACATAGCCAATAATATAATGGCATGAATCTTGACGCATTGATCGGTAAAATATAATATTTGGGTATATGCCTTTCACTGCCACAGAGAAGAAGTATATTAGTTTGCATAATAGTTCGAATAATGATTCACAGTTAACAGAAACATTATTGTAAAAGTACTTTTAAGAATATAGAAATATTTATTTTCTTCTACCAATTGATTGTCAATATACATGTTCACAATGAAAACATTGTGAATTGTTAAAGTTTGATTATATGGGACTGTTTGCACTTGCATGTGTTTTTTTCAGTTATTTACTTTTGAAAAGATGAAAAACACATGTATGGTTCATTGATTAAAAAACCCACAATGTTGCAAAGGGCATTTTGAAAAGGTTGTTCAAATGACTGGTATGAAAAATTAAGATGGAGAAAAACGTCTTGGAAATACAAGTGGATAGTATTTACCGTCTGAGCTACTTCTTGTCATTTATTACACTAATTAATAAATGTATTAATAAATTAGAAATTACACTTATCGTGCATATTAATGAAAAGGACAGCTTCAGTGGATAAGTGGACAGAGCATCTGCCTGGAGAGTGGACAGTCAGAGGTTGGGCCATGTCACATCAAAAGATGGTAAACTCACTAACCCTAATTGCGTAGAACGATGCATGATGTTGATCACTGGATTGTGTGGGCCAGACTCGATTATTTACAGGCCACCGCCATATAGCTGGAATATTGCTGAACAACAAACAAACCAACCTTGCACTCGACAGGTTGGGGAGGGAACAAGGAGTGGTTGGCGCCATATTACCACACTGTATCTGAGTTGGGATTCCATGTTACCCTGAGTCATGGTGCAGAGGTACAGATAAGCTGAATATCTGGGTACATTATGCAGGTTGGGGAGGGAACAAGGAGTGGTTGGCACCATATTACCACACTGTGTCTGAGTTGGGGTTCCATGTTGCCCTGAGTCACGGTGCAGAGGTACATATAAGCTGCGTATCTTGGGACATTATGCAAATATTTATGTGAAAACTCAGTTCCTATTAAGTCTATTGCATACAAGTATGCTTGAAGTTTTGTCAGTACTCAGTAAATTTGATCTTACATGCATACAAACAAAAATAGATAAAATAACTGAGAGATTCTATTTCAGCACTTGAACTCGTCAACTTGCAGTCTTTCTTATCGTTTCTCATAATACAGATCAAATATAAATAACAAACACGTAAACCAACATATAAACTTTATTATAGTTTTACAATTAATGGAAAATGGAAAAATAACCAATTGAGTTTGAGTGAGGTGGGTACAATTTATTTGGTTACTCAAAGGAAAATAAGGATACACATCTGGAATGAACACAAGCGAGTGCATAACTCAATAACCAAATAGTTATCTGTACCTCTGTGGTGTTTCAATTAGGGTTCACGGTTAGGTCCCATACTGCCTACAGTTCCAAACTGCCTACACCCCAAACTGCCAACAAAAACATTGTAAGCAGCGTGGGAAAAGATTTTTTGCCCTGTAGAATAATGGAACAGCCCGAGTATCAATGAAGAAGGGGTGCTTCGTTTGGAGTAAGGGATAATTAGGGGGATTATATTAGTATATATCTGTGCATCTACTTCTGTGTATAGTATGTTTTGAGTCTTCTCAATGCGTTCAATTCATCACTTATCAAGCAGGAGGACATCAAGTTTTCTTTGCTGGGTACGATATCGCCTCAACGTCAGACGACAGACCACAACACATTGGAAGTGTGTACATTCTGTATGCAAAGGCCGCTGTTCTACAACTGGAGACTTCATGAAATCAACAACTGTACGGATCTGGACGCAGTATGGAAATATTGGCCCGCGGACTAACAACCACCTTGAGGGGTGGCACCTGAAGCTGAAAAACCTTATTGCCAAAGCCCACCAAAACATCTACCTCTTCAACTGCAACATCAAGAAAATCGAAACTGTAGACAAACGTGCTCAGCTCGACTATGGTGCCCTCCCCAAGTCACGCAAGCCTGTTTACAGAGAGCTCGATGCGAGACTTCTGAGACTGAAGGAGCACCTCCAGAGCGGCAGAAAAATGCCTCTTCAGTACCTTGATGCTGCTGGACATCTCATCAAGTTTGCAAAATGATTGTCAGTTGTGTGTAATTGTGAAACAAGTAAAAGACTGTAAAACCACTGAAAGACTGTAAAACCTATCAGTTTTTCATGATAAATCCATGTCTCCATGTTATGTCTGAGAATTCTCAGAATGAATAAAGATTTCCTACCAACCAACACTTGTCATTTTTTTAAACTTCTGTAGGCAGAGTGGGAAGACACCATAGAATTAACCAGCTAACTAGTCAAGTTCATTTTAGCAGGGGTAGAACAGGTCATATCGGTGTATTCACTTCCTGATCACTGGACTGTATCATGTTGTTTTAACCTGTAGGCAGTTTGGAACTGTAGGCAGTATGGGAATACACCGGGTGCACTATGAGACTGTCATTAGTCTGTCATTAGGCCTGAGAAAAATTAATGTTGTGGTTCTGATTACCCGACCGACCCTTTAATTATGGTGCCTACCCTATTTTTTTAAGCAGAATGAATAAATAAGCTTTCAGATACCGTTGTTTTTTCCCGTCACCGACAAACATTGGTCATTCTGATAGAGAAAGTCAATATGATGGCTGCAAGCTTGATTGAATAAACAATTACATATTGATAAATATATTATTAGGTTGTACTTTACTTCTAAAAAATATGTTAAAACAAAAAATCCTTCCTAACTACCCTAAATTTTAAAGAGGTGTAATCGGAACCACAACATTTTTTTTTATTTGGCCTTAGACATTCAGGTGTAGACATGACACTATATAAGCGCAATAATCTTAACAAGACGTAAAACCCAATTCCAGAGAATAAGCATAGCTTTAAATATTCATGTTTATTGAGTTCATCCTATTGTTTTGTGAATTTGTTACGGTTTCTCCAGCTGTAAACGTCAGATATGAGAGGAATGATGGATGAGGTTAGTAACTGGGCCCACTGTTGCAGAAACTTTGCTTAATTGCTTAAACTGTAAAATTGATGAAGTTACTTCTCTATTTTCCTGATGTAATATTCTATGGCTCCATCCAACCTCGCAGGTTCACCCAGTTTTGTGTTTATGAGCCCAGGGTACTCTCAGTTACTGTTCTGGAGAGTCATGGGGTCACAGAGTGGGAGCTTATAGTTGTAGCATGACTATTAAGATCTGGGTTAGAATTGACCTTCAGCAACCCATGCTTGTCACGACTAAATTGATTGGTCAGCCCTTTTCCATGCATTGATGCTCATGAGGTCAATGATGGAATTGTCTGTTCGAGAGTCAGTTATTTACTAACTTATTTACTAACTGTTGCCATATTTGCTGAGTGGGCGTTTAATGACAGGCTAGCAACACACTAGTAACATGTAGCACACCTGACTAAAGTCATACTGCACATGCTCAGAAGCCTTTGGTTGATTAGTGAGTGAGTGAGTTTAGTTTTACGCCGTACTCAGCAATATTTCAGCTACATTGCTGCGGTCTGTAAATAATCGAGTCTGGACCAGACAATCCAGTGATCAACAGCATGAGCATCGATCTGCGCCATTGGGATACAATGACATGTGTCAACCAAGTCAGTGAGCCAGACCACCCGATCCCGTTAGTCGCCATTTACGACTGGCATGGGTTACTGAAGATCAATATTCTAACCCGGACCTTCACGGGTCCTGTGGTGTATTATGGTTATAGGTGGGATTTCAGTGTTAGAAGGACATCAACTACTGTCACCCTGAACTTTGAACCGGACCGGAGAATGTTATTTATAACATGCAGTCTTCAGTTTGGATTTTGTGTTTTTGATTGCAACAGCCAAATCTTCTTTGGTCACTCTCAAAACAGAAAGGTTCCTGGGGTAGCCCAATAGTTTAAAGCGTCTGCTCGTCACGCCGAGGACCCATGGGGGCGATGGGGTAGCTTAGTTGTTAAAGCACTCCCTTATCATGCCGAAGGCCCAGGTTCGATTCCCCACATGATTACAATGTGTGAAGCCCATTTCTGGTGTCCCCCCGTCATGATATTCCTGGAATATTGCTAAAAGCAGCGTAAACTAAACTCACTCACTCACAGAGTCACACATCATCATCATCATCATCATCTACTATATTTTCAGATTCAACAGGCAGCAGCCAGAAGTCAGCGATCACCACCAGAGTACTGTGATGAGGTCTCCCAGCAGTTTAAGGTGGAGTTATGTTGTATGGATGTTCATTCATTAATAATTTCCTGGGTGCTGTTGTACAAAGCGATCTTAGCGCTAAGGTGACCGTAACTCCCATGCCTTAACATAGACTTAAGGTAGTCTTAGTGCTAAGGTGACCGTAACACGGAGTCTTAGTGCTAAGGTGACCGTAACTCGCATGCCTTAACATAGACTTAAGGTAACCTTATCGCTAAGGTGACCGTAACTCCCATGCCTTAACATAGACTTAAGGTAGCTTTAGCGCTAAGGTGACCGTCACTCCTATGCTTTAACATAGACTTAAGGTAGCCTTAGCGCTAAGGTGACCGTAACTCCCATGCCTTAACACAGACTTAAGGGAGTACAACAGCACCCAGGCCCTGAATGAGTTTCAGTTGATTCCCAGCATCTCATGCGTTCTGTATGAAGTGTTCTCATGAACTGGGTGTTCACACACTGTGACCAAGTGTCATAGGCTGACCACCCGATCCCGTTAGTCACCTCTTAAGACTAGCATGGTTTGCTGCTGGGTGTTACCAAAATACAAACGTTGAATAGTTGTAGTCATGGATCACGTGTGTGGTCCGGTGGATGGAGCACCTGCCTGGACAGTGGAATGTTGACAGGTTGTCATCGTCCTAGTCATACCAAAAGGGGGTTAAAAGATTGCACTTGTTGTTTCTTTGCCTGGCACTCCACATTAAAGATATTTAACGAGGACTTGTCAGCTCCAAGTAACTGTACTGTTTCCGAGGATGGTGAGTAAACTATCCAGGTTAGACTGCAACATGGTATCTCAACGAGCTAGTACTGTGTGACCAGAATTGGTGCCAACAAGTGCAAACAGACACATTGACACACACAGAGACACACATAAGGGCCTTTAGACTAACAACTAGTCTCTGAAATGAACATATTTCACTGAAAAAAGTTCATAGAAAAAAAAAATATATAATGAAAAGGAGCCCTGAGACTTTCTTCATTTTCAGACTGAGGAAATCTAGACTTGCCACATTTTCTAGACTTGCGTGGGCTTTCTTGGATATATTTGCTTCAGGGTCTGTACGACAGACTAAAGGTCCTTCAGTAGTCTTACTTGTGACTTAAAGGGCAAGTTTACACGAAAATGAACCTTTTTGTCTTCCACATTTCCATCATCAGAAATGTTTGTCAAGTAGATTTATAGCCAAACCATTACAGATGTCAGAAGTAACTAATTTATTTTTTGCGTTATATCAATTCAAAGTTTCTACATTATCCGAGAGTTCTATTTCCAGAATGAACACACCATGGCTTATTTCTCTTGGAAATGACGTCATTGGTGCCCAAATGATAAACGAATGACGTCGTTAGAACTTATTAGACCCATTTCACGTGGTGCAGGTATAGGTGTGGTTCTTGTGTCTCGATGCGCAGGCTACTGTTTTAATCCAACTGTTGCCTGGCCGTCAGCTGGCCATTTGGTTAGTTCCACACTGTTACATTGTACAAAAAGTGTTACCATGTAGCCAAATTTTATAACATTCAACCTGAGTCGGTTGTCTTTCCAACAGTAACTTCTTTCACGGTGAATATGCCGGCATTCTACGTTTGGTACATTCCTATACAATATACAATATATGTCCCTCCTCTTCAACTTTCACTTTGATGTCTAAACCATATGCAAATGCATCACGAAGATACAATTCGCAGTTTTGACTTCTGTTTGAAATTCGTTTTTCTATGATATCATCTGCTCATTGCAGGGCAAATTTAGTGTAAATTATGTGGACTGTAAATCTAGCCAGCCTTGACACTAAATCACCATTCATTGCGCTTTTCGTAATTCATATTATGTCTTAATGATGTTAATGTCAAATTTCACTGGGAGAATCAAATTTTATTATTACAGTCAAATCCCGATGAGTCGAATGCCTGTGTCTCGAATATTATGCATAACTCGAAGTACCTGTCAGTCCCGACCATTCCCTGTTATAGTTGTCATTATTTGAATACCGGTTACACAAATTTGACTCATAAATACACACGATGACTCGAGAAGAAAATTTGGTCTCATGAGATTCAAACAACAGCAACCTTGTATACAGAAGCCGAAGTCAGTCAATGAGAAGTTGATTGGTGTAGCAAACTGATCGAATTAACAAACCAGCGCGGCTCACACCTTTCCGCCTTTGACGGTTGAGTTCAAAAGGCAGATTAGTGATTTTACGAAAATCACTGTCTGTGCTAATCAGACGGGAACTGATAAGGTGCCCCTATTAGTGATAGGGAAATCATTAGATAAACAAATGCTTAGGTGGAGGAATTAGGACTGGATCATCTTTTTCTACCCTCATAGACATACCTATGACTCGAATACATTGATAAGTCGAATTTATTACTTGGTCCCCAGAGATTCAACTCATCGGGATTTGACTGTATTATTTTTAAAACAAATCCCAAAAGCCCGTATCATTGTGATCACCAGTATTTTTGTCGAATGTCCAACATCATTGCTGAACCGAGCATCGCTGAGAATGTTTAGGAAATATACATGAACGTCGAAGTGAACTTTCAGCCATAGTATATATAAAATTGTGTCACACATATGTCTGTTATGTTTTGCCCATTACATCACAACTATAATTCAAAACCATCTTCCTTACATGAATCATTGAATTCCTCATACAGTTCCAAATAAAAAGACAAATGGTCTTTGTCACCAAAACCAAGTGTCTCGGTGAAATCTAGCAAAATATATCAGTGTTGTGAAAGGACCACTCGTTTGAAATGTAAACAAAGACCATCTCAGATTTTACACTGTGTATCGTTTTCTCATACTGTGAGAGATCCGTTCGCCTACCCGTTGAATACACTTGCTCATAAGTTTTAGTACATGCATGGGAAGAGCATCGTAGCAAGAGATAGTTAAATAAAATTAAGTGTATTCCAATTATTTCCACGATTCAACACAATATATCATACTTTCCGTAAGCGTGACGCCATGACTCACGCAAACTCACACACAACGATGACGGCACTTCTCATTTCTGACTATTGCCTTTGATCACGATGAAAACATAAAGAAAATAACAACCAGCAGATCGTCAGAAACTGTAGGACTACTTACATGTCACATTTATGTATATACTTTGCTTGAAACAACGAAAGTTTCCTTAAACATCCTGCGTACTTGTGTCGCTGAACACGCCATTTTGAGAAAGTCGCTTCCCGATAGTGATGTCATACGGACGTCAACATTGTTATACATCTTTCATGAACATTTCTATCTTGCTGCTTACATTTTCAGTTCTAATGCTTCTTTCGTATTTTTACATCCATGTTTTCATGGATTATTGTCAGTATTTACATCTTTTGGCTTTGGGACTAGACAGGAGACTAGTCTAGAATCAGCTGGCACCAATTACGTCATAATCAAAGGGCGGGAACCCTGGCTTGTTTAGCTCGGCAAACATTGGCCTCATAATGGTATAACATTTCAGCACTTATAGCGCGGGTTATACATTCATTGTAAGAAAAATGAGTGTATATTTTCAAACGTTGATATTAAGTAATTACAAAATTCCATTTTGGTTCCCATAAGAAAAAACGTGATTTTTTCGTGTGCACTTCCCCTTTAAGCAATAATTCTGATGTACACCATTGCTAAACTTTAAAAGTACCAGATACATTCTTTATTATGTTTAGACACCAAGTTGTAAAGCTCGATTTAAGAAAGTGTAATCCCAAATATAACATATGTTACATTTGACCACTGTCCAAATGGTATTGTGTAATCATCGTTTTAAGCCTTTAGAACTTGCATGGGGTAAAATGAAACCACAAAATGACGCCTCATATTTAAACCATCTTGTACCCAATGCATGGTGATATTTTCAAGTATCAACTCTGTGAATTTTTCCAAAAATAATTATCATTTTGTTATAATGATGTTCTATATCATCAATACCAAAACTCTAGCCTTATATAGAGTTTCATTTAGAGGTGCAGGTGCAACCTGTTTTGTGTGGTGCAAGGTTATTACCAAAGGTTGCACCGGGTGCAAGCTGGTTTCATTTCCTTAAACTGAGCCTTTAGTTGATGATGAGTATTGAGTACAGTGAGCCATCTCTTCCCTCCTGTCTATAATTACTCATGTTCAGATAATTGTTCAGACAGGAGGATAAATTGAGAGAGTGACATTCCCAGTCCCAGATAGGGTTTTGGTTTGAACATTGGGTTTGATACTGGTATGTGATAGGGATGCCAAGATACATTATCTTTTTCTAAGACAATACAGTTATCAATACATTCAAAACTGTGTTGATATTTAGTTTGAAAGTATCAGTTTAAATATGTTTATGTGTCGTTTACATTTTGCAGTTGTATCATGTTTTTTGATGTTATAAGATTATTTTTCATGCACAAAGTTGGGAAATCAGAACTTTTTAATCTCTGAGAAGCAAAAAGGTTGATCCTTTTATGGACAATTATAAAACATGAAATATTAATTTTCAAAATGTAACTAAATTTATGCAATAATGCCACGAAAATAGCCTTAAATAGGTATTGTGATACGTATCGAATCATGACATGGGTATTGTGATACGTATCGATTATGTATCGTGACATCCCTAGTATGTGACAGCTCATCTGAACATTGCAGGTGCTGTTTGAATCGGCCAACATTCAGCATGACGACTTCATCAGAACCACCCAGGACAGACACCACAGGGCAGTGCAGAGATTCTGGGTAGGGTTGATGTTAACGATGAGTAACTCTCCAAAATGGCTGTACTAGCCAGTTATTACGCTCGTAATAAAACATGTTGGCCCATGAAATTTTAATTTCTGTTTTAGTTCATGTTTAAATCTGCAGAAATCCTGAATTTTTAAATTTAATTTATTTATTTTTTTGGTCACACCAAAGCAAACGGGAGCATGAGCTACTCTGTGATACCTCTGGCTAATGTCATCAGCACTGGACATTGAACACTCAATAACACTGAGAAAACACACACCACTATTGATGTAATAAGTGCCCCAGGTACATAGACAACTGACACGGTTTGCTTATTACAAATCCTAACCATTTATGAAATATAAATGTTTCAATAAAAGTTACAAGACAAAGGTATACGCCTTCTACACAACAAGAGAATGAGTTTAGTTGTACTCGCTTTTAGCAACATTCCAGCAATATCACAGCAGGGGACTCCAGAAAAAAGGCTTCACACATTGTATCAATATGTGGGAATTGAACCCGGTTCTTCGGCGTGATGAGCGAACAATTTAACCACTAGGCTACCCCGCCGCCCCTTCTCCATAACTGTTTTGTGTGAAACAAGACATTATATCTAACATTTCATAAATTTCCTTTGAAGGTATTTAAAGTAGCCCTTGTAAAGATAAGGCCTTATATTCTTCTTCTGTTGTTTAACAGGACATAATAATATAAACAAAGTGAAAATATGAAATGTCTTAACCACCCCAAATTTTTTTTGGGACTGTTTAACTAAAATGTGAATTAAAACATGAAAGATATCATCCCTAATGTATGTAGGGAAGGGTTCACAATATGAATGATCATCGTATGTCTAACTTAAGAAAAATAACCAGTCAATAATCTTTCAGTATGTCGTCATGTTTAATCTATGTTTTGTAAAGACACATTTGGAAGGTTGTTGAGACTGCCTACATTAAATATTCATTTAAAAAACTGACCTCCTCTTCATGTAAAAATAAATAAAGGCCTTTATCTATGCATATACATGTATGAACAATTGGTTATTGTTCTCTATTTGGAAGAGAGCTATGGCTCTGGGAAACATGGTAATGTTTGTCTCAAAGTGGTGGCTTCCAAATGTGAAGGACTTTCATGGAGTTATTTATATTTTCTCTCTGTTTCAATAGACAGAATTTGGTGTCTACATCTTTTAAGTTTCCCATTGCCATTTACAATCAGGGTTCGAAATACTCCATATATTAGTGTGCCATGGCACGGTAAATATTGAAATGACACGGTTAAAAGATGTTCTCTGTGCCCTTTTGACACGCCTAATTTTCTGGAGACATAGCTCACATTTAGTAATTTAATCCCCCAAACAAATATTTTTTACCAAACTGAATAAGACCATACATATATGAATGCTCATAAACCCATTTCTTTATTTAACACTAAATTTCAAATGATTATCATCATTGTCATTTATTCTAAAAAACATGTGGGCATACTTGATTTTTGAAAGGCACACCTAAAATATTTGTCTGGTGCCCTAAGGCACACTTAGAAAAAAAAGTATTTCTATCCCTGACAATAATGCTGAAATAGCTTTCCATAAATATACTAGTTCTTAATTTGTTCACAATCCGATCTCCCATACACTCCGTTCATGAATCTATAATGGTAACTGAGTCTATTTACCTTATAGGACACCAAAGTGCTGCTGATTGTGCTTTATGAAATATCGTGTAAAGTAATGAGATTTCATTGTAATATTTGTGCACTGTGATTCACAATGATCACCTGAAGCTGCAAATATCGCCATACAATGTTAATCAATACTGAGAGTTTACAAAAAATATTTTCTGACAGTCTGAATATGTTTACTCCCCTTTCAAAGTCCTGACGTGAAAAAACCCACACAATCCTCATGTTTGAACAACCATATTGCCCCTAATTAAGATGGAGATTCAACAGCCCACTGCTTCGTACAGCTCCTGATAATGATGTGCTGTCGTTTCAGGGCACATTGTTTAATGTGCTGTGTCCTGTGATTAAGGATTAGGCAAATAATGTTTGAATAAAAACTACTGCCAGCTGACCTGATGTTTGCCAAATTGACTGCAGTCACTGTAGGTGTTAATTATTTTCTGTTTACGTGAGGGTCGTGTCTTTAGGTGGTTTGACATGTCAGGGGATCTTCAGAGCTTCCATTTGATGGGTTACAGGTTTTTGTTTGCCAATGAGCTAAATAAGTCAGCTTAAATAATGCTATGGGACTGGTCAATTATTGTAGGATGGGGTAGGGTTTGTGTGTGATGGAGGATGTAAGGTGTGCGGATGGGGCTGTGTGTGATGGAGGGTGTGGGGTGTAGGGGTGGGGAATGAAAGGTGTGTGATGGAGGGTGTAGGGGTAGGGAATGAAAGGTGTTGATGGAGGGCGTCGGGTGTAGGGTTGGGGAATGAAAGGAGGGTGGTTGCAATGGGCCTGTGTGTGGTGGAGGGTTGTTATATGTTCACATTCTTATAAAACAGGACACACAAGTGATCAGGCCATTAAGCACATGGCGAGCAACTTTATATACTACCCGTCGAATCGGAGAACTGAAACGAACCACCGTATTCCAATCTGGTACAAAATATGGATTCACAATTAAACGAAATATGTGACATCCCCTCTGTTGTAACGAAAAGAAATTAACAGTCCTTTGTTAGCACTAACTGTATAGTCAGCACTGAATCAAACATTTAAACTTTCTTGAAAAGAAAAGCATGTTAAGAGATTAACAATTAAAAGTCTTTCCACATCAGTATTAATCATAGCGTGATGGTTTGAAGATCAGACGACCCTTCGATGTGACACCAGTTGGTTGCCGCGATGTGTTAAGAGTTGCGATTGGAGTCGATGTTGTGGTTGTCTGATGCGATGATATCTCTGTCTTTGCAGAAGCAGCTGGACTAGTAGAGGTGCTAGTAGGAGGGCTAGGAGCCTCCTGTCGTGAATTCTGTTTGTCAGGTATCATGTCTCTCTTGTTCCGCCTATACTCTGCACCTTCTGCTGTCTTCACATAGTACGATCTTGGAGTTTCAGCTCGTCCTGTGACTGTTGCCGGAATCCAATGTCTTCCTTGTCTCATCCTGATGGTATCGTCGGCTCTGAAAGTCAGCTCTGCTGTGTGCAGATCGATCATAATAGAATTTCTGATTGTCCTTGGAATCTGACAAAGCTGTGTAGACTTTGTTACCTTCTTGTGTCTCGGTATCAGCAAGATGGTTTTACATGGCAGGTTATCTCAAGCAGTCTTCTACCCATGAGTAGTTGCGATGGAGAGCACCCTGTGTCTCCTATGGGAGTGTTCGATAGGCAAGCAGCGACAGGTAGGGATCAGACCAGCTCTGATTTGCTTTTGATAGAAGTCGTTTCACTGTTTGCACTGATTTCTCTGCCAGACCATTAGCCTGGGGATACAGTGGTGACGAAGTCACATGTTCAATGTTCCATGAATCAGCAAAACTTCTAAAGTCTGTTGGCGAGTATTGTGGTCCATTATCTGAAATGATCCTGGAAGGTATGCCATGCCCGAGCAAAGATGGATTTCAGATGAGTTATCACTGTTGATGACTTCGTGTTTACCAGCAGGGCAATCTCATTGAAGCGACTGTAAAGTCCACCACTATTAGGTAGTCTCTACCATCTAACTGGAACAGATCTGTAGCCCACGATCTGCCAGGGCAGTTTGGGAACTTCAGTAGGAATCATTGGCTCTTTACACTGTGACATTCTATTTTGTTGACAAGTACTGCAGTTGTCAATCACACGTTCGATGTCTATATTCATCCGTGGCCAGAACAATATTGTCGAGCTCGATCCTTGCATTTCACAATGCCCTGATGCCCAGTGTGTATCTTGTCCAACATCTCCCTTCTAATATTGTTTGGAATGACAATCTTGTCACCTTTGTAGATAATGTTGTCTACAACACTCAGCTCATCCCTGAAGTTCCAGAATTCTTTGACTAAAGTTGTACAGTCTTGAATCACCTCTGGCCATCCCATAGTGATACACTTCTTCACTGCTACAAGTTGCTCATCTCCACTCGTTGCCTTTGCTATCTCACCTAGTTTTTTTATCTGTCACTGGAAGATTGCTCACAACCATGTGAACGTAGGACTGGATGTCTGCATCCAGTGAGAAATCAACATTGTTGGGTGTGTCCTTGAAGTGACGAGACAGCATGTCTCCTACCGGGACTTTTGCCGGTGTGAATTGCACGTCTCGCGCCGTATATCTGTAGTCGCATTCTCATCCTCTGAAGCCTCAGCTGGCACAGAAGCGTGCAAAGGAGTTTCTTGAAGACCACTTCGAGAGGCTTGTGGTCTGTCCTCACCTTAAAGTTCCTTCCAAATAGATAGTGGTGGAACTTCTCACACCCAAATAGTATTGCAAGCATCTCCTTTTCAATCTGTGCGTAGTTTCTCTGTGCATTAGTCATTGCTTTAGATGCGAAAGCTATGGGACCTTTATCTTGGAAAAGGACTGCACCGATCCCGTTCTGTGAGGCATCTGTCTCTAGTGTCACCGGTTTCTGTGGGTGAAGTACTGTAGTACAGGACCAGGTGATCTTGTGATGAGGTCTTTGACTTCTTGAAAGGCTTGTTCATGATTCTCAGTCCAGGTGAATAGGTTGTCTTGTTTTGTTAGCTCTCGTAGGATGTGGGTCTTCTCCGATAGGCACGGAGCATACTGTGCTAGGTATGTGAACATACCCAGATAGCCTTCTAATTCTTTCTTGCTGGTTGGGACCTCCATGTCTTGGACGCTTTCACTTTCTCTGGATCGGGTTTCATGCCGTTTGCCGTCAGCACTTCACCGAAGAACTTTACTTCTTGTTGACATAGTTGTGTCTTCTCAGGATTCAGCTTGATTCCTCTTTCTCTCGCTCTCTGTAGAGTCTGTCGTAGATGAACATCATGTTCAGCAACGGTGCGACCTCTTGATTAGAATGTCATCAACTATGGGGTAGGTTTTC